TGGACTTGCGACCCATCCAGGGTGTACCCCACCCCTCGCACAGTTATTGCTGGACATGGGCACCGGCAACCTCTGTGACCCAAAATGGAATAAGTGGGTAAAGATGATGGATGAATGGACCTGAAGCCAGACATTGATTAACAAAACGGCTTACGTCTGAACTCGGGTTTGGGATTACAGAAACTGAAGGGAATCTTAATGGTCTCCTTTCAATCATCTAACATCAGCTGGGACTAAGAGCAGCAGATGTGATGTGACAGACTTGTAAAAACAAATAAAAACAGATTGCAAATCAATGTGTCTTTCTCCACTGGGACTACTACTTCTATAATTGTTCATACAGACAGAGGCACGAAGAGAAAAGACAACTAAAGCTTTAGTCTAATTAATTACATTAGCAGTGACACTTCATCTGTCATCCCTTCTGAGGAGTTAAACTAAACGCTGTAAATCAAATGAATGTCCCTCATTTGTCACTTGATTTAATTCAATTAGGTTCAACGTAAAGAGGGAGAGATTTCCACTCAGACTTCTGCCTTTACGTAAATCACAGAAAATCCTTTAACGTTTGTTTTTAATTTTATTTTTTACAAAACTGACTCCATTTATCCATCCATCATTTATCTTTACCCACTTCTTCCTTTCTGGGTAACAAGGGTCACTGGTGCCCATATCCAGCAGTGACTGTGTGAGAGGCGGGGGACACCCTGGACAGGTCTACAATCCATCACAAGGACACATAGAGACAAATGAGACAAACAATCATTCACTCTCTCACTCACACCTAGAGACAATTTAGAGTTACCAGTCAGTCTAACGTATGTTTTCGGTCTGTGGGAGGAAACTGGAGTACCAGGAGAAAACTCATGCATGCACAGAGAGAACATGTAAACTCCACGCAGAAAGGCCCCCAGCCAGGATTCGAGCCCTCAACCTTCTCACTCAGAGGCAGCAGGTCTACCAACTGTGATGTCTACAAAACCAATTCACTTTCTCAAAATGTAAACAATCGCTTGGTTCAAATCAATTCAGTTTATGTATATAGCGTAAAGTCACAACGGAAGTCGTCTCAGTGCACAGAACAGAAATATTCATATATGAAAAATGATAATTTAACACTATTTATCTGAGGAGCAGACTGCTTGGAATTTAACTTCATCACAGAACTCTTATCTTGAGCAAGCATGAAGGCGACAGTCGAAAGGAAAAACTCCCTTATGAGGAAGAAACCTTTAGCAGAACCAGGCTCAGGACAAGCAGCTGTCACGAATCATGTCCCTTAGATTATATTTTCTGTCACCCTGATCACCTTTTAAAGTTTGCAATAGATCTATCCTGTAAGTTTCATTTAGTCTGTCCGCTCCTGTAGTTTTTATTTATACATGTGCGTTTTAGTTTGTCTTCTTTGCATGCTGGTAGAGGGCGACGTCGCGGTTTGTTTAGCTTTGTCTGCACAGCAGCCAGCAGCAGATGATTAGAGCTCAACTGGCTGCACCTGTCACTCTCACCCTATATAAGCTTCACTCTCTCCTCTTCAGTGCCCGGTAGTTGAAAACAGTTTTCTGCAAGTAGATACCTCGCGTTCATGATCCTGTTTTGTTCCCCTCTAGCCATAGTGTTTCCCTGTCATAGTTTACCTGTTCTCCTCATTCCTGTCCCGCCCCTGGTTCCTGTCCTTACCTTTCGGCTCGACCTCCCGGATCCTGGACCCACGACTCACCTGGACGTCGTCTCTCGCTCGACCCCTTGCATTATTAAGCCTTCTGTCTTCGGTTCTGACCTTCACCTGCACGACTACGCCTCTTTGTCTACTCCTCCGGTCTCTTCAGTCATCTGCTCTTTGGTTTTGGACCCTGGCTCGTTGGACCACGACTCTGCGCCTGATGGACTCATCACCTGCCTGGCGCTGCGGCCGGCTGCAGCCCCTCACCGGACTCAGCTCCTCTAGCAGCGGTCCAGATCAGTTTGGACTTCTTCAGTCTCCAGAACCCCCAAGATCATCTGAGACAGTTAGTGGTCCTCCTTATTTGATTTTTCTGCTCCCCATAGTCTCCTGCACGACCACTAACCGATCTCTGTCTCGTAGACTTGTCCCTAATCTGGAACCTGTACCCGAACCAGTACCGGAACCGGCCCAATCTGCAATATTTCACCTAGAAAATAAATATAATTAAATTTTTACTTTGTGTGGTGATTTTGGTCCAAACATAAGGGAGTTCGTTACAGCGGCCATCTGCCTCGACCGGCTGGGTTTGAGAGAAACAGGAAGGAAGAACAGATACACAATGGCAGGTCAAGAATCACATGTTAAGACAGAAATAGTATCAAATGAAACCTTCAATTTTAACAATTCATTTAAGGAAATGAGGTCAATTTGGGGCAGCATGGTGGCACAACTGGCAGAGCTGCTGCCAGTCAGCAAGAAGGTTGACAATTCAAATCCCGGTCCGGGCGCCTTTCTGGGTGGAGTTTGCATGTTCTCTCCATGCATGTGTGGGTTTTTTCCACGTACTCCAGTTTCCTCACACAGACCAAAAACATGCATTTTAGTCTGTTTGGTAACGCTGATCAGTCAGCTGAAGCCTACAGGTAAACACAGCAAGTTTAAAAGTGTAGTCCTGAAAATTATAAAGCACCTCCACCTTGATGAAATAACTATAACAGGATGAAAACTTTGACATCAAAAGAGCCGAGGGAAATGTGCTGAGCACAGAGCTGAAGTTGATAAGGTGAAGCTCGGAGCCAAACCCAATTCACATCTTAACTGCCTAGATTTGCAATTGTTGCTGCCATTTAATACACTTTACGTTCAAACAACTGAATGCAACACTGTTATCTGCTTTCCATAAGCACTGGAAGGCTTCATTTCTACTGACCCAACTCCAGTTAAATACTGAGGACAACATACTGCTTATTTCATGATCTCAAAGATGATTATGTCCCATGCATCAACTCAACCCAGCATTTTATCCCTTAGATTTCCCGATTCATGCTCAAAATCCCAAAAAGTTAAGTCAGTTTCTCTGGGCAGTTTCTTTTTGTTGAAATGTTTTGTTTTTCATGAAATGTTTCAACCAAAAGAAACCATCCAGAGGACCTAACTTAACTTTGTTGGATTTTTCTAGCTGGATTATTGAGCATGAATCATGATGTTTTGAACCACTTTGGCCCTGACTGCCTCAAATGAGTCAGTGTGGGAGAGAGCGGACTACAGAAACCATCTGAACACTATCAAACTAGTTGACCCACTGTGTGAAGGTGCTATTTATGAGACTGAGTATGTTGTGGCTCCTCAGACTGATGAAGTCTTTTGGATGAAAGACGACACATTTCAACAAAAAGAAACCATCCAGAGGACCTGACTTAACTTTGTTGGATCCCTTAGACTTCCAAACGTAGTCGATGCTCCTGTTTTAATAGTCCTGGTTTAACAGACTTTCCTCACCAAATTCACAAAACTGTATGTCTGCAGAAATTACTACTGATAATGAATACGTTTTTGTTTTAACTGGCTGCAATTTCAGCCAGTTCAAGCTTCAGTTGTGAAGCACGGGCACAACTTTAATATCACAAAATATAAGGATACATAATAAACCAAGAAACTCCTATGAGTATGCTGGAAACCAAAAATCCATATAAGTCTTGTTAAAAAAGAGCAACATAGATGAACTGCAGGCATAGAAATAAAATATAAACGTAAAAGATTGGGTTTCCAAGTCTTTTAGCTTTATTTTTTCCTACTGGTCATTTCAAAACTTTCTATTTCTGTCTGTTTAATTAATTAATTTATTTTTGGCTTTGTTAACTATTTTAAATCTGTCTGTATTCATTTTAGATATATATTTTTTCCCAGTCTAACCTTGTTTCTTGTCATTTTTCATAGTGAGTTTCTTCTGACATAGTGAGTAGTACTATGTGCCTGTCTTTATCACTGTCAAATATTTAAAGAAGCTATGCAAACAACAAATATTAACTGCCACACATAACAGAAACTCTAGATTAGAGGTTCTAGATCTGAGGAAATATTGGACACCATACCGGAACCCAAATGTTGAAGCCAGAGTAAGTACAGCATCCCCACAGGAAGGTCCCTGTGCAAGATTTATGCCCCACTGCCACAGTGTTGATGAACAGGGCTTTGCCCTTATTAAAATATTAGTAATATGACTTAAAGTCCTACATCCTTAAAGTGTAGACTCCAGTCCCAAAAGTACAGCATGACAGCTCATCTGAACTACCTATACTTCATCTTGTATTTCAAGTCAGTGATCTAGGCCAGTGGTAACCAAAGTTAAGGATGAGAAACACCACCTGAGGTCCCCACATAACCTCTAGAAATCAAACTATACGTAAAAATTATTGTACCAGGGTTTAACAGTATTATAATCAGAGCTGGTGTAGCTACAATAGCTAGCAATATTTGGTGTCTTTGTTTTGTTGATCAGAAGCTGAAAAGTTGGCAAAGCACTGGTCTAGACCAGGACCCCCTGATTCTTTGGGGCCGACTTTATCTCAGGAAGGCCCATTCTTCTGGCATTCTTCTGCAAAGAGGCCAGCAGCCTGAACAGGATGTTTAAACGAGTCCAGAAACGAGCAGACTTCAGAACCGTGGACAGAGCTCACCCAGTGGGAGGCCAGCAGCACCACCAGATGCTCTCCAAAGAGAAATAAGCGATAACACACAGATCTCCCCCGAGACGACTTCTGTTTTTACTAAAAAATAAAAAAAATAAAAACTAGACACACCCACACACCCAGCAGCCAGGTGGCTCATAAAACATTACATGTTCTGCAGCAAAATAACAATAATAAATTTCTCTAGACACATTCTACCGTTTGAGTCATGGAGACAGCGCAGTCTCAGAAAAGACTGTTTTAAACAGACAACGCAGCAACATTTAAACGTACATTTAACTAGCGACAAATAAATTAAGCTGCTTCACTAATATGCTAGCTGTTGTATTTTACGGCTAAAAATAGATCCATTAAAAGTGACATACCTGAAGGAAATGATGCTCAAGCTTCGCTGAATGTGTTAAAATGTGTTCATAGTGCTCAGCCTCCGTTAGGGGTAATTGTTTTGTTGAATGGAGCCGCCAGATGGGGGATGGTTTCTGAGCTAAACTCAAGCTAGCTAAAAGTACAGCAACGACTTCCGGGTATTTCTTTCAAAATAAAGGTGTTCATTTAATCCCCAAGGGACATCTTCAAATCTCATGATACATTAAACACTTAAATAATACTTAAACATATTAATGATTATTGATATCTTAAGATTTTATTTTAGAGTAATAAACTTACCCAAATTATATGTAAAATGCATGATTTATATCTAAAGGGGAGAACAAAGTGTCCATGCATATTATATTAAAACATGCCTGTATTTGAGTTTCATTGAAATTAACTTGATTTAAAAGAATAAACTGGAATAGAAAATTTTCATTTTCTGAAAAATGCAAGTGACTGTGACTGCTGAAAAGTTCTGAAGAAGCTGAAACTGGGGTGATTAAGTTAAAGAAACAAAAGACTTTCAAAAAGCTAAAAGGAGCAAAATGCTATGTTGTATAGGATGGTTGGCTCAAAGAGCAAAAATGCTATTGTTGATATTAATAATGTGTAAATAGTACATTCAACAATGAGAATGTGAGGTTTAAGTGTCATTTAATGTCAAAGTCTAAGTTTCTTTATTTGTCATACACACCACATGTGATACATGTAGTGGAACAAAATTGTGTACACAGGGTCCCAGTTACATCCAACAAAAGTATAAATTGTAAAGGAAAACAGTAATAAGATCTAAGATATGAACTAAGAAAAAGGTTAAACTAAAAATATGCTAAACACTAGTAGTACAAAAACAATATGTGGAACAACAGCAGCATGAATGAGTCTGTGTGAGCAGATGAGTACGAATGAACACAGCAGCATGAACTCAATCAGCAGTATGAGATCAGCAGCATGGATAATCAGCAGCACATATCAACAATCAAGTGGCATTACAGTTTGTTTTTTTCACAGTGATTATCCTGGTTAGAGATTCATGAGTCTAACAGCTTCAGTGTAGAAGCTGTTCCTCAATCTAGTGGTTCTACACTTAATGCTCCTCAACCTCCTTCCTGAGGAGAGTGAGGCAAAGAGTGTGTGTGCTGGGTGAGTGGGGTCCTTCATGATGCAGGTGGCCCTCTTCCTACATCTAGAGGTGTGGATGTCCGTGATGGTGGGGAGGCTGACTCCAACAGACTTCTGTGCAGCCTTCACCACTCTCTGCAAAGCTTTTCTTTCTGCAGCTGTGCAGCCTCCATGCCATATCATTTAATGAGCTAAACTTTATGACATTAAAGACTAAAGTACTGTAGTACAAAATCTGCAGAAGTAGCTAGTTTGCAAACAAAACTTACAAAAAAGGAAATCACTTCTGCGGGTGCTGGATTTTCATTCACATTATTTCAGAATACATCATGATGTGGAGTTGTATCATATGATGAAAGAATTGAAACTACTGGAAGACTCCTAGTTATTATTATTATTTTATTTTTGTATTTGGTTTTATTTATTTTACTTCTGTATGTTTGGAAGCAGCCTGTGCTAGCTTTTTCAAGTTCGAATATATCTGATATGTATGCCATATTTGTTGTATATACTGTTAATAAAGAACGAAAGAAATTATTTCGAATAAATAAATCTACATTCCATTATTTTAATGAGCAGCAGCCTTTTTTCTAACGAAAACGCACACCCCACACCAGCAGGGGGCGACGCTCACCGTCGGCTCCGCGCTGAGACAGTTATCTTCCCGAACCAACATCTGTCGTTCCTTCCGGCTCCGGTCCCTTCACAAGTGGAAAGGTAAATGGGAACTCGGCGTAAAAATCCGAAAATATCTCAAACATCTTACATTCATCAATGTGATAATATCCATTGTTTGATAGTTGTTAACGTTTTGAACCAAAGCGTCAACGCATTTTAGCGGTAAACGCTTCGTATTCGCGGTTATAACGAATAGAAGTGGGGATGGCAACCCGGTTCAGGTTTTCATGAACGGCTGCCATTTTTTCTCTTTAGACGCAGGCCGCTTTCAACTTTAACGTTAATAAAGTTGTCTAGATTATTTTATGTGAATTACAAATAAATTGTTCGATGTGAAATTGACCCTCCAACCTGTCGCGTAGATGCTGATGCCCAAGAAGAATCGCATTGCTATCTACGAGCTCCTCTTTAAGGAGGGAGTCATGGTGGCCAAGAAAGATGTTCACCTGGCCAAGCATCCCGAGCTTGCCGACAAGAACGTGCCCAACCTTCATGTGATGAAAGCCATGCAGGTGAGGTTTTCACTGAAGCTGTGAGGAATCAATGCATGTGAACAGAGAGGTTTAGTTTAAGGTCATTTCTTGTAACAAGCTGCTGCTTTGAATTGTCAGATACCTGCTGACACTTTATTGCTCGACACTTGTCTCCATCCATCCATTATCTTACCTGCTTCCTCCTTTTCGGGTCGCATGGATCACTCGTGTCCATGTCCAGCCATCACTGAGAGGCAGGGTACACCCTGGACTGGTCTCCAGTCCATCACAGGGACATCCATTGTCTCATCTTTTCCTTATGTTTTACAAGCAGCAAGAGCAGCATAAATAATGGGGAAGCAGGATTTTCTTGATAAAGTTTGTGCAAGACATTTTAACTCGCTAATTAAGCTTTGTTTGTAAAATTTGGATTCTTAAAGCTGGTATGGCATAATCTGCTTAACAGCTTTGTGATCAGAAGTTAAAAAGCATGGAGTACCATTGTGCATGGAGCCTTATTTTCACATTGGACACTGTCTCTACAGCATCCAGGCAGTAACGTCACTTTAAAAACATCAGCAGTTGGCTAATATCACTAACTATTGAACAGGAGCAGGGGCCTCCCATGTTCAGCTGTCTCCCCATGCTGCTGTTGCAAGCATCACTCAGCCCTCTGAATAGGATGCAGACATCAGGGCACTAACTTCGGTCATGGTTCGTCCTTTTACATGTGAACTACGGTAGTTTTGGCTGTCACCAGCAGACTGGTTGAACCACCATGATGATGGTGGTGGTGATGCTTATAAGACTTGAGTTTGCTGCAGTTCCTCAGACTGAAGAAGTATTTTGGATAAAAGACTAAATGTTTCAGTAAGGAAGAATCCGTCCAAATTATATAGATTATCTGGATTAGTGAGCATGCATCAGGACATCATTCAGTTCCTCTATACAGTCTGTCCTGTTATATTTACAACACGTTTTTCTCTTACCTCGAAGTCAGACAGCCGGGTGGGTACCTGGTCACATGAGCATGCTGCTCACATTTTGGTTTGAGGGAAAGTTTGGATTTTCCACTTCCTGGATGACTGAGAATCTATCAACTATTTAACTTTTTGATTTCATCTTAATTAAATCACTTGTTCTAACTCCCTTTTGTTCAGCCTAATCTTTTTCTATTTAATAAAATTATTAAATGGCTTTAACTGCTATGTTAAGGCATCTAAAAGCAGATTTTTATAGTAACCTCGTTTTTCGACTCCATTCTGTCTGTAAGATTTTTTGTTTTGTTGCTCTAAGGTCCTTTCAGTGTTGTTTGAATTTGAGATACTTTGAAGAATAACATCAAATCATAGCTGTAACTTGATTACTCATTAGATTCATAGTTTTATGGTAAAAGTTCTTGTAGGAGTTTATAAAGCTTTACACTTTACGTGCTCGTTCCTGAGTGAATGATTATGTGGATTTTTTTGAGTTATCTGAAAATGAAAAACTCAAATCTTTATGTCCACAGTACTGTACAATTATGTGTGATTTTACCCTCATTGCTTTACTTTTTTAATCTGCTTGTAAACGAACACAAAGAGACGAGCCTCTTCATATATTCTGTCTTGGATTATATATGACCAAAATAAGCACAATAAAATCAATTGTTTATTCCCATTTGTAATATTTAAAAAATAATGCATGATTGTTTCCAGGATTTATCACATAAGCAATGCAAGAACTAAATTAATTTGTTGTGGTTGTGTGTGCTTTTCTTTTAGTCTCTGAAGTCCTGTGGGTATGTCAAGGAGCAATTTGCCTGGCGTCATTTTTACTGGTACCTCACCAATGAGGGTATCCAGTACCTGAGAGACTTCCTTCACCTTCCACCTGAGATTGTGCCCGCCACCCTGCGCCGTCAGACCCGCCCTGAGACCGCAAGGCCCAGGCCCAAAGGTAAAGTATTGTTATACAAGAAACGCACCGCACAGAAAAACCTTGAATCAACTGCTGTAAAGTCGGATCTGGTCAGTGTGGGGAGCTGCTGCCGAGTTCCAGGTTGTTCAAGAAGAGACAAACAAAAAAAAAGACATCAGACACATTTTTGAAATGAAATGAATTCAGTTTATGTGAGGTGAAGCTTAGAAGAAACTACAATTTAATATGATCAGTGCTTATTATTTATTCTGTTAGCCAAATAAGTCTTTGAGTTTTACTATTAAATGATTACAGCTTGTTGGTTCACATTTGATGCTTTAAAATCCTTAAATATTTGAATCTACAAGGTAAAGCTGGACAAGTTTGAGGCCCGTAAAGTTAAAAAAAATAAAAGCCAACAAATAAAAAACGAGCTTTACCAGAATTACTTTACTACATTTTTACCTCAGCGTAACTCGCTGCTTCTACTTTTCATATTGAAGTTCAAGGTTCTTTGTCATTCGCATCACGTGGTACATGAGGTGGAATGAAATTGTGTACTTGGTCCCAGTTACACCCAGTTGAAGATGCAAGTTGCTAATAATGTGTACTTGAAAATGTTACTTCGGAATTTGTACGTAATTTGTAATTACTGTTCTTCAGTTTAACAACATGTTGCTCATGCAAGGTATTTCTTTGCTGCTGCTGAAAGTGATTTTTTTTTTTGTTGCAAATCATTTAAATGTGACTGACATCAAAATGTAATTGTTTGAATTAGCTGAGAATGCAGTGTCATGAGCAGTAGGTGTGTGAATCTGTGTCTGGCAGTTCTATTCCGATCTTTGGTGTCACAATTCGATTCAGAAACAATTTTTCTATTGAAATGGTCATAAATGTAGTTAAAACTGTGTAACTGACAAGGTGAAAAGATTAAACAACAATGTAAACAAATAGAACATTTATTTTAAACAATT